AAAATTTATGGATAAAACTGGATTCTGTAATTGGGAATAATTCAAGCTTTGACTATAGTTGGTGATATAATAAAGGATTTATGAATAGTTACCGGTGGTGGGATTCAAATATGTGAACAACCGGTTCTCTGTGTGGATGCCGCTTCTGGAAGTCCATTCTGGGCTTGGACAACAAAAAATTAGCTACCGGTTCTGCCGAACTGGTGCGAACTGGCTGAATCCCACCACTGATAGTTACCCATTACATAGTCTTGGATGCTACATATATTTCAGTGTTTTTTAAAAAATAATTCTCCATCTCTTTCTAGTTATCAAATAATTTTGTCCCAATTGCTTTGCAAATACATTGATGAAGACTTAGGTGAAACCCTTATAATCTACTTTCCCAAAATGTCCTCTGTTGCTGAATAATATCAGTAGAAGCTAGGAATCTCAGCAGTTCTTATTTATTACTGTATTTACCCAAATGAAGATGAACTTAAGTCAAGGACATTCCCTCAGACCTTTCAATGTCTGTTTGCCCTTATTTTTCCTTTCAGTATTGTTTGTTTTTTATATTCCTCTGGCCTTCATTTACATCCTTGCTAAAGGTTGCTATCTCCAGGCCTTTAGGGAATAAATCCTACAGTTCTAAAACCAGGTTCCTGGTTTATTTCCTTGTAAATGTAATGGCTTTTAAAGAAACTTAAGCATAGTTTTAATTGCTCTGTGAGTTAGTGTATAGTCTGGTTGTTTCCTTATTTAGTTGTTGTTTCAAATGATTATCTATTTACCCCATTCCCTACACAGACATTTTTATCTCAGAGCATTGTTTGAAATGTATTGTTGTTGTATTGGTTGTTTTAGTGGTCATATTGCTTTAATATATTACACTGATTGTTTGGATGGTATTATTTGTTTGTGGGTTCTGAGCTAATTTTATTGAATTGATTTTGTGTTGTGTTTTCATAAAGATGCATAATATATATTAAGAGTGAACTGATTAGTCTTGATCAGAACCATCTGGCATCTTTCCCCTTGCCCAATTTTTCCTTTGTCTGGAATTAATTCATAGACCATTTGTATCTAGCAGGTATTGCTCAGTATAGTTTTTTTAGCTATCTTGATAATTTTTTTTCCATTCAAAGGGAGCTCACTTTATCCTTGCAGCTTGCAAGGTTTTTATAGTCAAAGTAATTTCTCAGCTTCTCCACGGTATCAAAATCTGATTTTTTAGAAAGTTTGATATCCTTTAAATTGTCTACTCTAAGTTTATTAAAGCTATCATTGAAGTTGCAAGATACAAGTGAAGTTGTCTTCATTCAACAATTGCCTTATTTAACGACCATTCATAATTACAGCAATGATTAAAAAGTAACTTTACAACCAATTCGTGCATTTATAACTTTTGCAAGTCTGTAAAGCAAGGAAAAGCTGAAGTAAGATCATAAAAGCAGTTATAGTTTTTTCACTTAGTGACTACTTCTTTAACAACTGAATTGCTGGTTCTAATTATAGTTGCTGAATTAGGACTACCTTTAGAAGGTACATTAAGAAGACTGCTTTATGTTTAGAGATGGGCTTGATCCCCGTGAATGCTACATAGAAGATATTCAATTATTTAAAGATTTTTTACTAAAATTAACTTTCTTCCAAATGGATATAGCTCTACTGGTTCTTAGAGATCATTTTAAGTCAACCTGACTAAAAAGTGTTACTGACAAACTTTCTTTCTGTAGAAGTCTTGTTGGAGAACCCATGCCCATTATACCAAAAGTAGTTTTAAATAATTAATCTAGGACACATATCTTATAGCTCATGGAATAGGATTTTAATCACCTTTTTCATTTTTCCTATATGATTATGTATATATCTCCCTACTACACTCTACACAGAATAAAGTAGCAAGAAGTTAATTGCTATGAATTGCTTATATATAAAGTTCAAATTTGAAAGCAAAACTACCAGTTGAAATTCTTGTAATCTTCTTATAATCTTTCCTGAAAAGCTCCAAGAGACTTGGTCTTTGTTTTTGTTTTTCCAATCCTGATTGTTGCTAGAGAAATCTGGCAGATGCATCCAAAACTGTATAATAATGCCTCTTATCTAGTATTCTAGCCAAATGCCTTAAAAATTACCACTGGTCTGAAATATTTGCTGAACAAAGACTGCATAGCTATTTTGCTTATCAGTTTTGCTTGGATAATATAACAGAATAACAGAGTTGAAGGAATAGAATAGAATAATAGAAGAGAATAGAATAGAATAGAGCTGGAAGGGACCTTGGAGGTCTTCTAATCCAGCCCCCTGCTCAAGCAGGAGAACCTATACCATCTCAGACAAGTAACTGTCCAGTTTCTTGGAGTGCCCATGATTTCTGGCGGTAAGCTGTTCCACACTGGTTGATTGTCCTCACTGTCAGGAGGTTTCTCCTTAATTCCAGGTTGCTTCTCTCTTTGATCAGTTTCCAACCATTGTGTCTCATCCTTCTCTCTGGTGCTTTGGTGAACAACCTGCCCCCCTCTGCCTTGTGGCAACCCCTAAGATACTGGAATACTGCTATCATGTCTCCCCTATTTCTTCTTTTCTTTGGACTAGCCAAACCCAAGTCCCGTAGCTGTTCTTCGTATGTTTTAGTCTCCAGGCCTTTGATCATCTTAGTTGCTCTTCTCTGAACTTTTTCCAAACTCTCAACATCTTTTTTAATAATAATAATAATAAAGTTGGAAGGGACCTTGGAGGTTATCTGGTCCAACCCCTTGCTCAGGCAGGAAACCCTACACCATTTCAGACAAATGGCTGTCCAATCTCTTCTTAAAAACTTCCAGTGTTGGAGCATTCACCACTTCTGGAGGCAGGTTGTTCCACTGGTTAATTGTTCTAACTGTCAGGAAGTTTCTCCTTAGTTCTAGGTTGCTTCTCTCCTTGATTAGTTTCCATCCGTTGCTTCTTGTTCTGCCTTAAGGCGCCTTGGAAAATAGCTTGACTCCCTCTTCTTTGTGGCAGCCCCTGAGATATTGGAACACTGCTATCATGTCCCCACTCATCTTTCTCTTCATTAAACTAGACATACCCAATTCCAGCAGCCATTCCTTATATGCTTTAGCCTCCATATTTTTGTGATATGGTGACCAAAATTGGCTGCAATATTCCAGGTGAGGTCTTACTAGGGTTTACTAGAAATTTACTAGAACTTACTAGAAACCTTGGAGGTCTTCTACTCCAACCCCTTGTTCAAGCAGGAAGGCCTATAACATTTCAGACAAATAGCTGTCCAAACTCTTCTTAAAAACCTCCCGTGTTGAAGCACCCACAACTTCTGAAGGCAAAACATTCCACTGATTAAGTGTTCTAACTCTCAGGAAATTTCTCCTTGGTTCTATTTTGGTTCTCTTCTTGATTAGTTTCTCAGGATATTTCAGGATGGCTTTTGTTAATTATACAATTTTCTTTGGGGTTTTATTTATACCTTTTCCAAGCTACTGAGTAAAATGTAATTGTGTTGTTTTATTTTTATGAATTAGATTAAACTAAGAGATGCATAGTACTCCAATATAACCAGTGACTGATTGGCTATAGAAAGCAAGCCTAAGTTCAACACACTTCATTCAAAGTACAAGAATATGTTAGACTCCCATGATTTATTTAGCATACAATTGAGTTTCTCCACACAGAGGCTATATTTCATGATAATATTATTTGATATTAATATCTGTTGTTACTGGCGGAATATCATTTAGTGGTCACATTTATTATATTTTATCCAGTTTTATTGAAATTTCTATCAAAGAAACTTCCAATTTTACTCCAAACCAACAGTCTATCTTAGGCACTATATGAGTTGCACTCTTTATCTGCAAACCAGAGTTGTAAGTGGCCATTAATACTTACATATAAGTCTTGCTTTTAGTGGTAATACTAAAAAAAATATTCATGTTGATGCATCTTGCAAAGAAATGTGTGTCTTTTTTTAGTACTTAGGTGTTTTGTGGGAAAGGAGGTGTTATGCCTTTTTTCAAATAATTTTAGAAACTAGCTAAATTTTCTTGAAGAGTTTGTTCAGTTGAGTGAATAATAACTATGACAACAAATGCCCCCTTCTAAAAATCATTGCTGTTACAACACATTTATTTGATTAGCATATGAATAGAAACTCTTGAAAGTAAATGATTAGGATGAGTATAAAAAAGTCAAGGACTAGTTTCTCTGCCTTGTGACTGCCCACAGTTGAATTTTGAGACAGAGTTGTTGTACTAGAAGATAATATACAGTATATAACTCAGGGTTGAATTGGTTGAATTCTTGGTGCTTTCTGAGCTTGGTTGTTTGTTTACAGATGTTTCATTACCCAACCAGGTAACATCAGTGCCTTCATCAGAGAGTTGTTGATTATTCTTTACTTCTTAACTAATTATGTTAATTACATGGATTTCAAAGCAGGGCAAAGGTATAGTTCTATATTGTCATACAAGTTAGATTTTATGAAACCGTTTCCCAATAAATACCTTTTAAAAAAATCACACAATATAATTAGTTTATCTCTAATTATCAGGATCCCTAGGGTCCCTGTATTCTTTCAATTTCTTTTCCGCAATATATTCTTGGTACGCTATTATGTGTATTCTTGCAGATCTACCTTAGCCAAGGAAAGAAATTGCATGCACACAAACACACAGAACCAGCAAAACAAGTTAGAAGAGGGGATATTTAATACAGTATAAGTCAGAGTTGCCTTAGCAGGAAGCAACATTCAGCCGATATGGGCTAATTTCTGAAGCTAAGCAGAATCAGAATTGGTTGGTATTTGGATCAGAAATTTACTGGAGATTTTATGGCTTTTGGTTAGATTGAGAAGCAAAAAAAAATATCTCACAAAGCAGTAGAGGAAATCCATTTTTATAACATTTCTTAGGGGGGTTATGCATGTATCAGAAAATATACTTGATTCCATTTTTATTTTAGCTTCATTTTATGTTAAAGCTCAATATTCCAACTAACACCGAGCTGCTTAATATTTTCAGATGCAGATGGAAACTTGTGTAAAAATTACCAGCTCCTGTCAGTAATTTTAACCATGCATCGACTTATCATCTCCTCCTCTGAAATACTGCGAAAACTAATTGAACTATATCCTTTTATATTTTTTCAATGAATACCTTAATTGGTGATATAAAGCTGTGACAACACAATGATTTGAAAATAATATTCCAACAAAATATTTTTCTTTAGATTAGAAATAGTATGTGTGTAAAAATCTCTATATTATTTTTATATATTTAATTAAATAAATCAGGTCTCTTAAATATTCTTGATCTTATTTCAATCTATTATTTTGAAAAATCTGAGTTTCAGTTAGTAATAACAGTAATGGCTGTATAGACTAAATTTTGATACTGTTAAAATGTTTTGGCTCTTGTATGTCTGTGTTTCTATGTCTCGCCTCTCCCCGACCTTGTATTACTTGGAAATGTATTCTTAAAGTCTTTTCTGAGCAGGTTTTGTCTGTTTCAAAATGAAAAGTTACTATTCCTCTTACATTTGCCAAACTATTTTGCATTGTTTTCAGTTTCTGCTTATATTAATTTGCCCCACAGAATCTGTTGTGAATTTTATTCACAAGCTCTATTTAATTTCAATTTTCTTATATTTGATTGGCTTATTCCTTCTTGTAGAGTTTTAATATATCAAGCAGCTAGACCAGTGATGGCGAACCTTTTAAAGACCGAGTGCCCAAAAACTGGCCCCGCCCCAGCTCCACCCCCTACCCTGCCCCCACCCTGCCTGCCCGCAGGGCCACTCACCGCCTCCAGGGCCCACCGCAGATCACCCAGGCAGCCCAGCAGCGCCATGGCCACGCCCTCTGCTCGCGCCCCGCAGCATCAACTGTGCACGATGGGGCGTGAGGGAAGAGTCTTGTCTACGCTGCCTGGCTGCCATGTCCTTGGCTGTGCTGCTCCACGTGGGCCACGCTCGGGGGCAACTCTCCCCCGGGGGGTTGCTGGTGATTAGGGGGACACGGGGGGAGACAAGTCTGGGGCAGCGGCACGTGTGCCCACAGAGAGGGCTCCGAGTGCCGCCTCTGGCACGCGTGCCATAGGTTCGCCACCACTGAGCTAGACTTTTGTAATATTTTTGAAATTAAACTACAGGTTAAATACAAACTATTTTTCCAATCAAAATAAAAACATATTTAGTTACAAAAAATGAATGTTGGGTTAGGTAAGAACACATAACAAGGGATCTCTATTTATGAAAATACATAAGAAAAAACTGACCTTCACAGCTGATTAGAAATAGAGAACTGATTATTCTGGTTTTTTTTCCCTAGCAGGTATATTGAGAACCCTTGGTGCAAGCTAACACTACATGTACCTGATAAGATTCAGTCTGTATATCTGTAGAATCACTGACACTGTTTTCTAAAACTGTAATTAGGTACTTTTTATTTCTGGACTTTAATCACCTGGTGTAGGGCTCTTGTAAGCTTTTCCATTTTTCCTATATGATTGTGTATGTGGATCTTATTGTTTTTCAGTTATAAAGAGAATTAGTCCTGCAAAAAAATGAGTATATAGTTGGAAAAAACCTTACTTATCTGGAGGGGCATCCCCACTTCAAATAAACATGTAAAAGTTATCTAAATTAGAGGAATAGGTCGTGTTTATCTAACCAGAAATTGGCACTTGGAGTTCATGTGATCATCAGAACCATTTTGTACCCTTCCCTGGTTGTATCGTTTAATTTGGTGGCAGAATTGCCAAATTTTAGCAAATTTGAGGCCTTTTTCAGATTTTCAGTTAGGTTTGAAAATCGAAGTTTACCTGTGGGTATTCTTCCTCTCTCTTCTAACCTTTTCAAGCTAATACCCCTGGTCAGAAAAAAGAATGAAAATGTTTCTTTTGGTGATATCTCAGCATAATAAGAAAACGTCTTATAGCTCTTCAGACACTTAGAAGGCCGAGTTGCTGTCCCAGTGGCATATATCCGTATGGTTATTTTCCCCCCCCAAATATCTGATTTTTAATTGGGCTTTCTTTTCTATTTGATAGTCCAAATTCCTTTGTATAATTTTCTTCTAGATCTCAGGAATATGCATACAAGGGACTAAAATTCCGAAAGAATGTACTTAATTTTTGTAATAATATCTTGGTGGGAATGATGCAATATGCATAGCTTGCATAATGATATAATGATGCAAATGATATAAATCTCTGCAAATGATATACTTCCACATTTGAGAGATATTTGTGAATAACCCCCTAACATAAAACATTTTCTGTTCTAATTAAAATTGTATATTTTCATTATTAATATGGCATTTAATTTCTTATTTTTCTTGTGTTTTAACATATTTTCCTTAGCATATACCTACATATATGGGTGCCTTGGAAAATAATTCTTTGCTCTGCTGTAAGATATGTTACCTTGTGAGGTGAGAACACATTTTTTATAAGTTTACTGGATCTCAGTGCAATAGCTTTTGCATGTAATGGACCAGATTTCTGTGGCGATTCATATAATTTGCATACTACAGTCATTTTGCAAATCACCAATCAAGTAATTTATATCATTTTATTTCAGCTTGCAGGTTTGTGTATTGACATTTTTGTGCAAATGAGCAAAACTGCAACAATGACATACTTACATATTTAACCGACATATAATTTGCTATTGTGAATTCTTTTTGTGAATATCCCAGGGCCATCTTTCTTTTGTTTGTTTGTTTATTTCTGCACATATGGCTAGATATGCTAATAGTCTTGGCGCATTATGCTTTAGATTGTCACAAATATAATTTTAAGCACACTTAACTGGTACTGGGAATGAGCCCCACTAAAATTGGTAGAGACAAATTTTGAGAAAACCTCCATAAGATAATACTGTAAGAAATGGAGAGTGGTCATGTTGTAACCTTAACCTAATATCTAACCATATTTTAGGTGTATGATATGAGTTGTTAATTCTTTTGAAATGCTGATCACAATATTTTTAATTAAATATATGTACAAAGAGAAAATTGCGCAGGAAGTGCAATTCAGTCATATATTTAACTTCAAAAGGGAATATTTCCCAGAAGTAAGTAGAAGTAGAACTCAAAACTCTGAAGCAACCACAAATTAAGAAGGAATTTGAGGAAACACTCTCTAAAACTGAAAATGCCAGATATTATATTGTGATTAACAAATAAATGATAATATATGCAAGGAAAAGTGAACAGAAACTTAAGATGCAGTTTTCTTTAGTCATAAGTAGAAATCAAATCTATTTATTTTTTGCCCAGGTATCTGAAAGATATCTGATTAATTAAGTTAAATTAACACTGCCATTATCTATTATTTTTTTTATGCTTCATTCATTTGCAAGGCCTTAAGAAAGCACAGATAAGAAATATATAGGATAACATTCTTATACAGATAGTATCCTTATGCTCAGCCAGAATAATTGATGAAAGCTTTAATTAGACAAAACAGACCGTGAATTTGTGAGGTGGCTAAGTTATTAACATCCTTCCATGTATTATTTTATTTACTTGTTTAGTTCCACTTTTATAGTTTTTTAATATTTTAATAATTATTATATAATGGTTTTAGGTAATGATTGTTTTATATTTATTGTTTTATTGGTTTGTTGTATGCTATCCAGAGTAACTTTCCAAGACATGGGCAGCCATATAAATTTGATAAATATATAAATATAATTGAACAGAAAAACAATAAAACAGAATATATTAAAAAGAAATCTAACACAAATCCTGACTAGAATATATGTCTCTTTCCACCAAGATAGCTACATTTTTTTTGAAGAAAGACCCCCTCTTTTCTTGTACCTTCTCTTTTTTCTGGAAATTGTACCTTTAATATGAAGTTCTGGAAAACAATATTAATCTTGTTTTTCCAATCTACACCCAGCAAGCACTCAAATCTTCAGGGAGAGGCCAGAGTAACATTTTATATCTACATGACAAAGAGCCTCTATCCCTTGTGAAGATGTGGATTCCAAGTCTACATAGGGCAGGGGTCTTCAAACTTGGCCCTTTTATGACTGATGGACTGGCTGCTAATATTGAATATTCTTGCTTTGACATCTGGGAGTTGAAGTCCATGAGTCATAAAAGGGCCGAGTTTGAAGACCCCTGGCATAGGGTGTTGTTTAGTGGGAATGTTTGAGATCTGTCAGTTGACTATAAAACTGCATTCATGAGTGTGTTACCAATTTTGCTATTTGGAAGAAATGACATCAAGGTTCTGAAGAAAATCTGAAATACATATACATAAAGAGCTGCAATTTGCAATCATATATAGTATATAATTCCAAGTACCACGTTTCTTTCTTTTTTGTACACAGGTATTGGATAAGAGAATTCTGGGTCATGTTTAAAACAGATACCAATCTTACAAATACTATGGAAGAATTTCAGGAATTGGTGAAAACTAATGGTGAGGAGTTACACTGCCGCCTAATTGACACATCTCAAATGTGAGTGTCAATGCCTTAGTATAGAATTCCCAATAAATAATTTATATGGCCATTGGTGTGTGAGTGTGTGTGTGTGTGAGAGAGAGGGGGGGGAGGGGGGTTGTATGAAATTACTTCTTCATATGATTAAATGGCAGTGGTTAAAAACCATAGTCTTTTTTTTAGTTTGTATATCTGTGATAATTGCAGGTAGTCCTTGACTTATAACCATTCCTTTAGTGACTGAAGTTACAATAGCACTGAAAAAAGTGACTTATGACCATTTTTCACACTTATGACTGTCGCAGCATCCCCGTGATCATGTAATCAAAACATTGTAGGATGTTTTCAATATAACTAGGGATACTTTTTATTATTAAAATATGTAGTATATTTTTACACATGTTGTAGGCCATCCAGAGTTGATTGGACAGTAAGATGGGAAGCATATCAATTTAATGGATAAATATTAATCCACACAGACAAATATTTTTCAGTATGTTGAAAATACAAACAAAGCAACCTCTATATGGATAAAATCAGAAAACTCCACAAGAGTTACATATTGTATGATTTTAGCTTGATTTTAGCTAATTGCAGAAACTCATGCTATGAATTGAAATCTATTTTCTAGCAGTAATATAACATTCATCTGCTAATCCAGATGATGATACCTTTTAGATAAAAAGATACAATTTCTAAGCTTCTTAACTTTCAAGTACACATACTTTTGCCATTTTAGATTCATCTACTATAGAGATATAAGGTAGACCTGCTAGAAGTTGTTCAATATTACAGTAGTACTTCTTTTCATTGCTGCTATTTGCATGATTTTGAGACGAAGGAATATGCTAGTAAATATTCTTGCAGGTAAAATTTGATTTTCCTTTTTCCTTCTTTCTAAAGAAATGCTCGAGATTGGTCCAGAAAGATAACCCAGAGAATAAAATCTAACAGCAGTAAGAAACGAAAAGTTTCACTGCTCTTTGATCATCTGGAACCAGAGGAATTGTCAGATCACCTCACTTACCTTGAATTCAAGTCCTTCCGAAGAGTATCAGTGAGTCAATGACTTTTTATAAGTTAATTGCAATTATAATTTATAAATAACTTATAAATTATGCAGTTTCTTTGAATAATGCATGTAGTGAGGTAAGTTCGGTGTGGAAAGATGAAAGTAATGAAGTAATGATGCTGAAGCGGAATACATTTTCCACCTACTTTTACATTTCTGAGAGCAAGGAAAGAGGTTGTGTTGAGTGTAAATTGGTGCATGCTTAATAATATCCATTGGCCTGTTGTACAACTGACACATTTCCAATAGAATGCAAAGATAATTAATTCAAATAATTCAAATTCAAATAAGCTCAAAGTTTTATTATGCAAGGTATGGAAATTATAAGGAAAGGCTTTCTTATAACGAGCACACTTCTTAAACATTTTGTTTAGAATATAGAAGCAGAGTCCATTTATTAGTCAAAACTTTGAAGGAGTTGGAAGTATCTCCTTCCCATTCCATCTTGAATTAAAATTGGTCCAATAAATGCAGTCATATTGGGAACAACAGGCAGTGGCGTGGGCAAAATTAGTAAGTATGCCTTTCAGTTGTAGTGCATATTGTTTGTGCACCTTGAAATTTAGTTGGTTGAAATTTGACTGGCCCTCTCCCTAATTATTATTCAAAATGTTGGAAATAGATCTTTCTTTGGACAAATGACACTGTTGATGTGTCTGTGTGCTTAAGTACAATTAACTGAAATTATTTTTTTGCATGACTGGCCTTCTTCCACTTCTAAATAAAAATTTCTAATGATTTAATTGTAGAATATTACACACACACACACTGTACACAATTATTAGCCAAGTGAGTATATTGACCATATCATCATTTTCATGCATATTTCCCATCTCCAAGCTATATAAATTTGAATGCTTAGTGCAGGGGTAGGCAACCTCATGGACTTCAACTCCCAGAATTCCTGAGCCAGCCATGCTGAGGGAAAAGGGAGAGGTTCCCAAGCTGAGCCATGCTGGCTCAGGAATTCTGGGAGTTGAAGTCCACGAGTCATAAAAGAGCCAAGGTTGCCTACCCCTGGCTTAGTGGATATAAGTATATCAGGTGATGTGTATTTATGTAATGAGGGAGGGTGTGGCCTAAGAAGATCAACACCCTATATCAAGGTGTGCGTAATTATTAGGCAGCAGCTTTTCCTCAGGCAAAATGAGTCAAAAAAGATTTAACTGACTCTGAAAAATAAAAAAAAATGTAAAAAGTCTTTCAGAGGCATGCAGCACTCTTGAAATTGCTAAGATATTGGGGTGTGATCACAGAACCATCAAATGTTTTGTTGCAAATAGTCAACAGGGTTGCAAGAAGCGTGTTGAGAAAAAAAGATGCCATTAACTGCCAAAGATTTGAAAAGAATTCAATGTTAAGCTCCCAGGAACCCATCATCCTCCAGTGCTGTCATATTCCAGAACTGCAACCTACCTGGAGTGCCCAGAAGTTCAAGGTATTCAGTGCTCAGAGACATGGCCAAGGTAAGGAAGGCTGAAACCCGATCACCATTGAACAAGACACCTAAGCTGAAATGGCAAGACTGGGCTAAGAAATATCTGAAGACAGATTTTTTCAAAGGTTTTATGGATGAGAGTGACTTTTGATGAACCAGTTGGATGGGCCTGTGGCTGAATCAGTAATGGGCAGAGAGCTCCACTTCAACTCAGACGCCAGCAACGTGGAGGATACTGGTATGGACTGATATTATTAAAGATGAACTAGTTGGATCTTTTAGGGTTGAAGATGGACTCAAAACATTTGATGGTTCTGTGATCACACCCCAATATCTTAGCAATTTCAAGAGTGCTGCATCCCTCTGAAAGACTTTTTACATTTTTTTTTTATTTTTCAGAGTCAGTTAAATCTTTTTTGACCCATTTTGCCTGAGGAAAAGAAGCTGCCTAATAATTACGCACACCTTGATATAGGGTGCTGATCTTCTTAGGCCACACCCTCCCTCATTAGACAAATACATATCACCTGATATGCTTATATCCAGGGCTTTTTTTTGTCACAGAACGCCCAGAACAGAGTTCCGGCACCTTTTTTGGATGAAACCTTGTAGGGAAGGCAAGGCGGGTTGTATAACATGTGTGAGTTCCGGCACCTTTTTTTTTTTTTTTTACAAAAACAGCACTGTTTATATCCACTAAACATTCAAGTTTATACAGCTTGGAGGTGGAAAATATGCATGAAAATGATGATATGGTCAATATACTCACTTGCCTAATAATTGTGCACACAGTATGTATATGTGTATGTATGTATGTATGTATGTATGTATGTATGTATGTATGTATGTATGTATGTATGTATGTATGTGATTGGATAAATGAAATAGATGGTTAGTAAACAAGGAAGGAAGGAAATATACCGTATTTGTAAACAACTACATCTAATAGTTGGTATGCTCTTACAAAACATGCTTAATCTTTTTCTGTGGTCCATATTCCATATAGAAGGACAGTATCTCTGGAAGGGGATGATTGGACTAAGTAAGAGTGGTTAGCAAAAATTATATGTCTTATTTTGCATAAGTTGAAGGGTTTTCCTGTAGCAATGAAGCCTTGCCTTCTCATCCTATGGCTCCTTCTCATCCTATCAGTTGCAGTGCCTATGCTTGTGGAAGAACTATTCCATTGAGTTTAAAGCTAAGAACATAAAATCAGGTGAGCCAGGAAGCCTGGTAGGCTCAAAACAAATGCAACTGGCCACATTGAGCCCATGGGGACCAACATATTAGTTTATAGTGGTATGTCAGCAAAACTAGCATTCATCAGGAAGGCAAAAATGGAGTAGGATTAGTTTCTAAGCAAGGACCGATAATTTATGAATATTGGTTCTTTATCTCCTTTTGCTTGAAAATGTATAGCTAAATTGCTTCAAAGCTTTGGAATGAGTCCCTGATCAAAGAATCAATGTATACTTGTCTCCACATATGTAAGTTTAGCAATTCAGAAAACAAACCGTAATGATTCTCACTTAGTCATGCGTCAGTACTTTTTATTTTGAACTCTTGTTTTAGGACTTTTCTCATGTGCTTAGTTAAAATATAATGGTCATGAAAACTGGCCATATCTCCATCCAGTAAACAGCAATCCATTTACACAAAATTGCTATTTAAGCTTGTATATAGCCTATTTTTCCATTTAGGTTAATGGCTGTTGACTAAGAACAACAATGCCTTATCTTTTTTTAAAAATCAATCTTGATTGCATTAAACAGGCCATTTGGTTACATAACAGAGTTGATGATAAATGAATACTAAGATAATTTTGTTTATGTACAAATGAAAGAACTATTTTATACACTGATGTTAAAATAAATAAGCAGTTGTTTTTGAAAGAGCATATTTCATAGCAGTGTCCATGTTCTGTTGCTTTGTTTTTGTTCAGGACCTCATTCCCATAATAACTGTGTCAAATGTTATAAATTGCCAGGGGAAAATATTTTAAGTTAGTCAAAATACTTTACCGTGGATCTTACATGTAAAAACAGAGGGCAAATATCTGTATAGAAATTGATAACTAAAGCAGGAAACTGATTTTAGTAGATGATTTTTTAAAGCAAGTTTCAGCATGGAGATTTTTAAAATAATATAGACTTTTTCACGTGAAAATGATGTGTTCTACTGGAACTATTTTATGTCCATCATAAAGGGTTTACAGCATTTGACATAACAATAAGAGATTTTTCTAATCAGTTTTCTAGGCAATTGTTGTTTAAAACTAGCTAACTAACTTCAAATTATATTTTAATAACCCTATTTAGATTTCCATAAACTTAAGTACAGGTAGTTCCCCACTTACAACCACAATGGAGCCCAAAATTTCCATTGCTAAGTGAGACATTTGTTTAGTGAATTTTGCCTCATTTTACAATCTTTCTTGCCACATTTGTTAAGGGAATCACTACAGTTATTAAGTTAGTAACATGGTTGTTAAGTGAATCTGACTTCCCTATTGACTTTGTTTGTCAGAAGATCAGAAAAGGTGATCACATGACCACAGGACACTGCAACCATCATAAATATGAGACAGTTGCCAAGCATCTGAATTTTGATCATGTGACCAAGGGGTTGTTGCAATGATCATAAGCATGAAAAATGGTCATAAGTCACTTTTTTCAATGCTGTTATAACTTTGAACAATCACTAAATGAACTGTTGTAAGTCGAGGACTATCTGTAGAGGTTACATAGAATAATTTAATGTAAAACTATATTTGTTTAACCTGTCAATTAATAGTTACTCTACCTGAAGTTTTCAGATTATCAAAACTACATCATAAATGGATGTGTGAAGGACAATCCAACAATGGAACGCTCAATCACACTTTGTAATGGTATTTCACAGTGGGTGCAACTAATGGTATTAAATAGACCAACACCACAGCTTCGAGCTGAAGTATTCATCAAGTTCATTCATGTGTCCCAGGTCAGCTCGGTTATGAATTACTTTCAGTTTGTTTTATTCTTTATTTGTTGTTCATTTAATAATTGGTGTTACATTCAATTCATCATCACCGTCATACCTCTCAAGAGGTTATCAGTGCCTGCTGCTAAATGGGGTCTTTAGAAATGCTGCAGTGATCAGTCATTTCCTTTTTGAACGGGCTTAGCTGACATTGCCAGCATTATTAGGATGGGGGCTGAATGGATTGATACCGAGTATTGCATTGTGAGAAATGCACAAAAGCTGTCAAGAACGTTGGTACCACTGTCCATAGAAATATAGGAAAAGGAAATGGACAAGATAAACATATGCCTGGGGGTGGGAATCTCTTGGAGCATGTGGCTTGGTATCCATCTGTTTATATTAGATACCAATGCTAGGTCTGGTTCTTTTATCTAATCAGATCACGTTTCCTATGGGGGAAAAGTCAACATTAAAAATCTGTAAACTAAAAAAAAGCATTTATCTAACTCAAAGTAAGTAGGTTAGATAACTACAGAGCAAAAATTTTGTTAATAACACTGAATAAAATGTATTTAAAGCTGTATTGGGAAAATGTTCCTTTAAATATTATCGAGATAATACCCAGTTCAATTATATTAATCAAAAATATATTTTTCATCAAACAATTGTACTGTTTTTTTTAAATACAGAAACTTCATCAGTTGCAAAATTTCAACACATTAATGGCTGTGATAGGAGGTCTTTGCCACAGTTCCATCTCTAGACTTAAAGAAACAAGTTCTCATGTTCCTCATGACATCCATAAGGTTAGTTGTGCTTTTTCCTGGTTTTTGTTCATTCCCCAATATACGTATTAAATCTGTACAAGCAGTTTAGAAAGACACTAGGCAAAGTGAGCTCTAATTTTCTGAACATGCTATTCCAAACGTTTGGGCACTGTTTCCTCTTGCCAACTTATTCTATTTTGGTGGTAATTCCACTGGAAGCATCTATGTTATATACACATACATGCCGAGATGGTATCTTGTCCTTTCATACCTTGAGCCACAGGTTGGACAACATCGCTGCCATTTTCTTATGCATTCCTGTGAATGATTTTCAGAGTTTTAATTAATACCCCATCTTTCAGCTATAAGACCATTTAAGATCATTCACCAATATGGTGTCAAAGATTAATACATGATAAAGATGATGAACTTCATAAATATTTAAAAATTACTATTCTATTGAGCAATTTGGAAATAATGACTAAGTTGTTGTGGTCAAAGTTTGCCACTGAAACTATTTTTAAAAAGAGATTGTTATATAGGATTCTGATGTATGATTGAAAAATGGTTGAATATATGTCTCAAATGGCTATAACACTAAGCCATAACTCAATAATATCAGAACATGTCATAATGTCTTTTTGGGAAGAAGAACTGCAAATTTTAGATTAACTGCATGGGAATCTGAGTAAGTGAGTTTAATCTTAAATATGATGACTGAAATTCTAATTTGTGAGGCTGACTTTCAATGGACTATAGCAGTGGTTAATTTAAATTGGAAGCAGAGACTTTTAATCACTTCTTTGCAGTTATGTCCAAGGAGGGAAGTTCATGAATTTATTCTTATTATTCTTAATTATGACTTGGCATTATATCAAAACATAAATGTTATAGTATTTCATTGCAAACTTGCTACAGTGATTTATTTGTTATATTATACTAAAAATATATTATACTAAATTACGAACAAAGCTGACTGAATTTGCTTTTGTTGGTTTGCCTTTAGATATTCAATGAAATGACTGAATTGCTGTCATCCGGTAGGAACTATGATAATTACAGACGTGCTTATAATGAGTGCAGTAACTTTAAAATCCCTATTCTTGGAGTACATCTGAAAGATTTAATTTCCCTTTATGAAGCTATGCCAGATTACTTGGAAGATAAAAGAGTTAATATGCACAAATTGTATTCTTTATACAATCATGTCAATGAATTGATACAGCTGCAGGAGATAGGTCCTCCTCTGGAAGCTAACAAAGATCTTGTACATCTCCTTACAGTAAGTGTCGATATTTATAGATTGTATTTTATGTAATCTGCTTTTACTTTTTTTAAAGTTAAACCAGCCTGAGCTATTTTAAATAGATAGAGTGTTACACATTGAAAGTTTCTGTTCAACTCTATACAGTACAAATATTTAACTGATAGGAAAGCAATCCCTTTCATTTCTGAAAAAAACAATGTTAATTTGTTTTCTACATACTCTTTGGTTCCACTGCTTTGTGACCCAGCTCCTACTGTATGTTGCTTAGTACTGTGACACATATGTCTGTAGAATACTTTAGTCAGGGCCAGAAATGGGCTTCATTTATTTTAGATTTCTGAAGATTTAGAATTATAGAATTGCCATCCTAAACTACATTGCTTAACATCCATGTCATTGGTCCCTCACTGTGAATATTCAATGGATAGTAGCTGTATGATAGATAATGAACACATGTAGCTGATCAGTATAAGAAGCTGGTTCAACATTAGTACAATTGCTTTGTGCTTTGAACCTTTGAAAACAGATTTTGACAGCATAATACTGTGGTAGTAAGATCTGAATTGGCTCAATCTTAACCTTAATCTTAAAAACCTTAATCTTAACCTTAATCTTAAAAACATTTTTCTAATTATATTTCAGCAGAATGATACCTGCTCAGATTTAATAGATTGTAATCTTCCACAGAGCTAGTGTAAAGCTAAGTGAGAGTATAAATACAAATGGTTTCTTGTGAAAAACAAAATAGGATTTTAATTACTAATATTGCTCCTCTAAAAATACTGTCAATATTATTTAACTAGTTCAAATCCTCCTCCCCCCCACACACACAATCACTCACAGATACATACAGAGTTACCTCTCTTTGGATCAGCTTGAACAGTCACAGGGAAAGATTGTAGGAACAATGAAAATTACATATTAATTTGCCCATGATCTTCTTCTGCTTCATTGCGATAGTTTCTAGAAAACATCGGAATCAGGGACGAGAAGACTATATACTTGTCTTTCCTGATACCACAGCTAGTAAATGTGAGCAGATATCACAGAATAAGGCCTGACAGGATGTCGTTTGACTAAATTGGAAAGTTTACATCCCATGAACCTGAAATCCTCATGTAATCTATTAAGATTTGAAAGTGGGTAACTTTCCTTCAAAGCAGATCTGAACTATTTTGTCACTGCTTGCATTTCCAGTATTTTTTGTTTCCAGAAAAATGTATTTAAAATGAGAGTAGATTTTGAATAAATTGCTTTGGGGGTAAGGTCAATTGCTGATATCAGAAGCTCTCATATTTGCTCTGCTCTGATCTACAGCACTAAAATATATGTGGATAAATGCTGGAAAAATGTGTTCATTTTTTATTGTGATGTTTAGACTTATGATATCTAGGTGTTTGTGCTATATTAGAGACCTCAGATTCAGAAAAACACAACATTTTTGGAGAACGCTATAGCATTTTGAAAGTTAAATTGTTCTTGTATTTATTTTCAGTTGTCACTTGACCTTTACTATACAGAAGATGAAATTTATGAACTTTCATACGCACGAGAGCCAAGAAGTCACCGGGCTGCAGTAAGAAATTTTACTCCAAAACAGGATGTAGAGATAATTTAATTATAACACAACAACAACAATTATAATAATTTAATATAGCCTACAATAGTAATAATTAAATAAGTGCAATACAAATGCACTTATACTGTATATTGCAAACATACATTTATATGTTGCAGTAGCAGTATTAACTACGAAGACATGTACTATTTAGGGCAAAATTTAATAGGCAGTCAAAAGCAATTCAGTATCCAAGTATAATAGTAACAACAACAACAACAAAACCTTTCCTTAGCAAGTCAGTGTGCTAGAATAGGGACCCTTCCACTGACCAAAGACCTCACTTAACTTTTGTGAGGGGAAGAGGTATGTAAAAATAGAGTTTCGAACCATTTTTTAAAATTATGATTTATTTGTTAAGTATAACAATCATAAGATATAATACATACAAGCCAAAATATTGCCCTGCTAGTAAAATATTTCAGTACTTACACAATAATCTTTAACTGTGCCATCATTTTTAATAGTCTTGACCAGAAGTGTATGAGGGCTGTAAAAAGAGAACTAGAGTTGCTAGTGTTAATGGAATCATAAATACAAAATACCCCCAAATCACAAAATATCTAAGTTTAGAAATTGCTGACCCATAGTCTCTTTTTCACAAACTCAACAGTATCATGGAAAAGTCCAGTCCAACTTTCACACCATCAGCAATAATGACAAGGGATGATAGTTACAAATACATTCTTAAGAGACCTTCTAAAGCTGAGGGTCTTAAATAATAAATAATAATAAAGCCAACTGTCTTCTCTGTATTACAGGTTTGGGCAACTCCCAATTTGCTTTTGTGACTTTCGGAGTGTCCTTTCCCAACTAATGCCTCCATTTCTGGTGACATTAGTTTTATGCCCCCTCAGAAACAATACTTTAAAAAAATGAAGGGCAATCTCCTAAAGTGCAGGGGGTGAAGTGGCTGAAAAAATGGGATAGATTATGATCCACTAATTCATAATGTCCTTTTTGCCTTTTTCAAAGCCAGTCTGCCTCACAAGAGGTACTTTGCTTTAGGTAGTGGCTAATGATGCTATCCAATGTTGTTCTGGATTGAGATTTCCAACATAAGAGTATTAGTAAAAGTGTAGTTTTGATAATTTGGGAAATTAATTAATTAATTAAATTTATGTAGCACTCAGCTCTCAGCAATACCATATACAATATATAAGAGAAAAATATTACATAAAGTTGAGTTACCCAAAGTATGTGGCAGCTTCACTTTATTAATGTTTACTTATTTAGTACCATACTAAATATTGAAATATTCTAAACATATAACTGATTTTAAACATTTAGGAATGCTTTTCCTCAATAAACATCCAAATACATTTTACTTTTTTAGCCGCTGACACCTTGTAAACCACCAGTTGTAGCAGATTGGGCCTCTGGAATTGCCCCCAAACCTGATCCAAAGATAATTAGTAAGCATGTCCAGAGAATGGTAGATGTAAGTATGCTGTTTTATTTACTATAAATTTTTATGTAGTCTTCTGAGTCCTGATTCATGCTATATTGATTGCGGCAGTTCATTGCAGAATTCCCATGTCCATTAGGATATTACTAGAAAATATGTTTATACTACTGCTGTGCTTCTAGATCTTAATAACTTATTTTTCATTTACTTTATTTCATTCCAGTCCTTTGCTTGGAAACCCCCACAAAAGTACCTTTTCCAACAAAGAGGCTGGGAAGAAATATATGGCTACCCCCTATCCATATATAGCATCCCTATGGGTATTAGACCATTATGTACTTACAATAAATAAAATCTAGGGCTTCATGATAATAGAATAGAATAGAATAGAATAGAATAGAATAGAATAGAATAGAAGTTTGAAGGGACCTTGGAGGTCTTCTAGTCCAGCCCCCTGCTCGAGCAGGAGAACCTATACTATTTCAGACAAGTGACTGTCTAGTTTAACCCCTTTGTCTCAATTCATGATGTGAAGGAACATTTCTGCTAGCAGCTTCCCATGATATAAATCCAGAAAAATGAACTTTAAATTTTTTACTATAACCTAAATTAACACTCTACATGATTGCAAATCTGAGACCTGGCTACAAAACTTTGAAAAATGTAGTTTGAAAATCATGGTGCTAAACTCTGAGAGTAAATGGTTAAGTATCAGACTAGAAAGCAGGAGACTGTGAGTTTTATATTGATTTACATTTCATGTTTCCCATCTTAGCCATAAAAGCAACTGGGTATCTTTGGGCCAGTTACTCTCTCTCAGCCTAACTCACCTCACAGGGTTGTTGTTGTGAGGAAAGGTTTGTTGGATATGTTCACTGCCTTGAGTTGTTTGTAAAACTAATAAAGGTGGAATACAAATAAATAAAGTAAGAATTGAAGGGAAAGAAGGAATAGCACTGCAAAAAAGGGCATTTGTATCATTTGATGTTAGAACTAAATTATTTGAAATTTCTATGAAATTTTTAAATAAGTACTTGACTAAGCAGCATGCTGTGTATTATATATTATGCAGAGGACTAAGTGGAGACCCTGTATTTTAGTAGAGAGCGCAGAAGCTAAATACTGTATGTAAATGAAACACTTTTAAATGCCAAATAATTTTTAATGATTTTAGAGAAAAGGAGAAATTGATAGTTTTCATTATATGTTACCTTTTTAAAAAGTACTTTAAAATTAAACCATGTAAAACACCCCAAATCTCTATTTTGCTATTTGTATATTGAATGCTATTTCATAGAATTGGAAGGAACAATATAAGCAGTAGAATCCAATTTCCTAGTTAATTGAGGAACTTCAAGTGGTATTTGATTTATTTCAACTACAGCTTTTCTTACTTTCTTATTACTTCATGCAGTCTGTTTTTAAAAATTATGACCATGATCAGGATGGATATATTTCTCAAGAAGAATTTGAGAAGATTGCTGCGAGCTTTCCTTTCTCCTTTTGCATAATGGATAAGGACAGGTATTTACTAATAATGTTTTCTGCTTATCTTTTTATGGGTATCATTATTCAAAGAAAGTATTGGACTTGTGTGATATAGAATTGTACATATTGCCTCCTTGTTCTTACCATCTTTGAAGCCTTAAGTTTGGTTCTCGCTGAGGATGGGATCATTCCTTGAGCTTTTGACCAGTTAACAAGCCTTGTCTATTACTCTCTTTGTGTGATTGTTGGATGACGTTAGTGAAAAGCTTGCTTATCATGCTTGGTTTCAAATAATTGACCTTAGAGCAAGAGGTTATAAATGCTTTTATATTTAAAGGATGCCTAGTGTGCATTTTTCCTCCTCCTTTAAGCTTGTTCATTCTCTCAAACAGACTTAGAATTCATAAAGTGCAATTTGAAGGTACAGTGGAGGTAATTATTCCCTGGCCTGCTTCTTTGTTTTGATAATTGTACAGCATGCTCAGAATTATTTGTGAAGGCTGCTTCTCAAGCTGGTTTTGAAGAACTTTGAAGGAGCCCTTGTGATCTCCTTGGCAGGATCATGTAGGGTGTGTGCTTGTGTGTTCCATGTACTTCTAAATATTCTTTGCTGTGAAAATGAATTAGTCCTTTTATATTAATGAGCTGAAAGATGTGTGGCTGAATTGAAATGAAGGAGGGAGACACTGTTAATTCCTTCTGCTTTAGATGTATTAAGCCTCAATTGACCTTTTTGTTTGTTTGTTTGTTTGTTTGCAGGGAAGGTCTGATTAGCAGGGATGAAATAACAGCCTATTTCATGAGGGCCAGTTCAATCTATTCAAAATTAGGCCTTGGCTTTGCCCACAATTTCCAGGAGACCACTTACCTAAAGCCGACATTCTGTGACAACTGTGCTGGATTTGTAAGCTTGGGGATAGGGGGTATTTGAAAAGTAAAATTATATCTCACAGTGTGTATAACAAATTGTTATCAGGTAATGTTTGGTTGCAATAGTAACTCCAGCTTTTTTTTACTATGGAATTTGTTTCATTTCATTTCATTTTTGTGTCCTTACTACTTTATTTACTGTTAACCCGTAAATTCCCTCATTATGAGGTGCATGCTTTGCATAATTAAGGTTTTAGGTCAAATTTCAGAGATTTTTAGTTTTAGCTCTAGAACTCTTGAGTCCTCTGAGTATATGTAAATCCTGAAAAGTTGCTGCTGCAACATCAGATTAACCAATGATCTAATTCAATGGAGACATCTTTCCATCATGGAATTCAATAGAACTGAATGTAAATAGTAAATGTCAACCATTAGATGTCCTTTGAAGGCAACGACTAGGCCTTCTCACCTTCTATAAAATGGCTGCATCATGTGGCCTTAAGCTTTGAAAATATATTTGGTTATTGAAACATCTGTATTCTTAAGAACCAAAGGAAGTTTTACTATGATGATATCTCAGAGCTCTTACTAATCTCCAGACATTTATTTCATAGCCTTCACTTATAATTTATGGCAGAAGTTCCTGGTGTCTTCATGGGGAGAAGATTTAATGTCCCTGACTATAGTATTTGATAGGAACCATTTAAGCCATCTGGTCTAACTTTTGCTATGTATAGGAATCTAAATTAAAGCAACCAGTTGCTACCTAACGTCCTTTTCAACACATTAACAAAACTATCATTGCTTTGGTTGTTCTATAACCGTGGAACCACTGTTACTGTTAAAGGATTATGTTTCACAGTCAATACTTTGCCTTCCTTTAACTTAAATATTTTATTGCGTGTCCTGCACTTTGGAATGAGATAGGAAAAATGTGACTTTCTTTGATGTGATACCCTTTCAAGTATTTGAAGAGTGCTTTCATATCCACATCCCACAAAATAATGTTTACTCAAAGCTAAACATACCTGCCTCCTTTGATCTCTCTTTTTAGTTTTAGTTTCCAGTCTTCTGCTTATCTTTATGCCCTTCTCTGAATTTGTTTCTGTTTGTCTGAATCCTTGTTAAAGTGTGGTACCCAGAATTGGATACACTAGTTGGAGTAGGAGTCTAACCAAAGCAGAATAAAATGTAATTATTACTGCTTGTGATTTGGAAATCATGCTTTTTTTGATGCAGCCTAAAATGTAATTTGCCTTCATTATAGTCAAATCATTTGCCTTCTTTGCAACTATATCATTCACTTTTCAATCAACTGCTATTCTAATACCTCTTTTGAAAGTAATTTTGCTAAATCAGGTATTCTGTCTCCCTTATTATAACATTTGATTTTGGTTTTCTAAGTGAAAAACTTTGTGATTATATTTGTTAAATTTCACTCTGTTGCTTACAGTACATTTCTCAAATCTCAAATAATTGATTATTATTTTTCATTTCATTTCTCTCTGGTGGTATATTACCTATCCCCAAATTATTATTCTGCAAATTTGATAAGCATTTCCTCCATTTCACTTCATCATTCAAAACAATAATAATAAAAAAGAGTAGAATTCCAGGATTGATACTTGTGGCACCCACTTAATACTTCTTTTCAATTTGATGATGAACCATTGCTAAGTGTTCTTTGAGTGTGGTTTACAAGCTGTTTAATTTGTCATGCCATCCATTCCACATTTAATTAATCAGCATATTATAGGTTCTTCGACAAATTCTTTGCTGAGTCAAAATATATTATGCCTATAGTATTCCCACAATTTATAAAGGAAGTTATTTAATCAAAAAACTGATGGGGTCTGGCTAGATTTGTTAGTCTGGATAGATTAACAAATCCATGATGACTTCTGATAATTATTGCATTTTGTAATTTTTGCAATGTTTTGTAGACTAAACCTTTAGTATTTTTAAAATCTTCCCAAATATTGATGCAGATATTCCTCTGTAGTCTCCTGGTTCTTTTTCTCCCCTGCTCCCAATTTTTGTAGATAAGATCAGATTTTCACTCTTTCAGTTCTCTAGTCCTTCATTGCTCTTTGAAAATATATCAAAGGTAATGCATAAATATTACCTCAGTATCTTAGCAAGTGATTCATTTTGTCCTAGAGATTTAAACTCATTCAAAATAAAACAATATTCATAATCTTGTTTCTACCAGCCTCAAAGTTTAGTCCTTCATTTTGTGCTTCACTATTTCTTCGTAGAATACATATTTTGTTGAAGAATACTGAACCAAACAGGAGTTTGATAGTTCTGTTTGCTTTGTTTTCTGCTACACTTTTGTGTTCTTTACAAAGCAGTTGATCTTTTGTTTTTCATTGTACATATCTGAATTTTTTGCAGTTGTGCTTTTGAGATCTCCTACTTTAGAAATTTGCACCCATCTTGAGTTTTTTTTCTTTTAGCTTCACCTACTGTGGGATCCTATTATAATTGCTTTAAGTTTATTAACATTTGTTTTTGAAGTCCAAAATGAATATTTGACAATGTTCAGTTTTAATTTGTCTTAATAGTAAGGACTTCAGAATTGCATGATTTCCACCTGCTCCTTCTACTTTCTTTTCTAAGCCTCCCTAAAGATTAGTGTGAAGTCAAGATCCCCTTGTGCTTTTCCCAACCTTATGTAAGAGAAAATAGTCATAAAGACAAGTCTAGAATTTCCTCCCAACTGATGTCATTACAACATCACTTTCAAAGATGTAGTATTTGCTTCTGGACAGCTTTGTCCTTTTTGTTTGGGTCAATACATTCCAATAGTTGTGTTGCTTTTATTTTCTCTTTGACTAATTTAAAATCCAGATGGTTTTTACGGCATTGCCAAATTCATTCACTTAGACTTCTAAACAAGAATGCATACAGTGTAACTTTAATACATGTGACCTATGTATGTATTAGAATTACATAACTTTCTTTCTGTTGCTTCAGTTCTTTGGAACAAAGTACATCCTTCAATTGCTATATTCCAATCCTGACAGTCTCTTCAGATGATTCATTATACCTGTTATATTTTCTTCTGTACTACAAACTCAAACTCTTTTTGGTTATTTGCCATATTCTGAGCATGAATATGAAGGCATGGAATGCTACCCATTTCTAATACTTTTAATCTCGGGGATTATTTAATAGTATTATTCTAATACTATTGAGACCTCTCAGTAAAAACAGCTTTTGGAATTCCTTGCACTGAAAGTTGCTTTAATGTGAGTCAAGGAAAAAGATTAGTATTTAAATTTTGATAACAATCCACAGAGCTAACTATTCTTAAACTTGTATAAATTAAGTTGAAACTCTTGCATCTTCTCTTGATCATTTTAAATGCAGTTTGCAAATGAAAATAAAGATGGAATCGTTTTAAAATACTCTAGATGTTCTGAAAATTGTAGACAATGATTAATAATTAACTAAGATAAATACAGAACCAGAATATTTTATGTTGTGTCCATTAGCTATATTGTACTGTTTTGAGAAGATTTTTATTTTTATTCAGGGGTAAAAGAGGCTTTCTTCTTTCATTAGTTTGCTGCATGGCATTTTTGCCTGCTTATATAGTCATATGTGTTACATTTTTGATGATTTCACGAAACTAAAATTTGAAAAAGAGCAGATTAAATTTATGGTGTAACTTGAATGCAATATTGTAATATGTTTTTCCTTATCTTTTTAGCTTTGGGGTGTTATTAAACAAGGATATAGGTGCAAAGGTAATTAACTTTGTTTGAGTTAAATCATCTTTGATGGCAAATTGGCCATTGTGGTACCTCTTTTTTTCTCTTGAACAACAGATTTAACATTATTTTAGAAATAGGATTTTTAGCATAAACAACCTAGAACCTAAAAAATTCCCTATCTATATCTATATCCCTCTATTGCTATGTTCGTTTCCTGGGTAACTGCAAAATCTTGGAAGAAACAATCAGGAAAATATACAGAGATCGTTACATCAGTTCATGTTCATCTTAGGTTATTAACTGGCAGGTGATTTTATTAAAAGGAATAATTTGACTTTTAGTTGAGTAGCAATGCCGTATAATACTGTTCTACATTTTAATGCATATATAGATAGATAGATAGATAGATAGATAGATAGATAGAGATAGAGATAGATAGATAGATAGATAGATAGATAGATAGATAGATAGATAGATAGATAGATAGATAGATAGATAGATAGATAGATACTTTAGATATATATATATATATAGATACAGTATATACTTTAGATATATACAGCATAACAAAGGAAAGTTGATGACATTGCTGTCCTGTACATGTACAATAGTGGGATTAAACCACTTTGGGGCTTGTCTCTAGTAAAACCTAATAGATCTGAATTACAGTTCATGTAGCAGTTCCTTGGTCTTTTGCAAAATTTGGAAAGAAGTAGGAAAGGAGTTGAGATAGAAGAGGAATTAGTATGTGGAATTAGTATTTTACTTTTTGCCACTAAGCCAATGAGCTGACTTTGTTTTTATTTGTTTGAAGACTGTGGAATGAACTGTCATAAGCAATGCAAGGATCTAGTTGTATTTGAATGCAAGAGAAGACCCAAAATGACCGCTGTGGATAACAGTCCAACAACAGCTCTTGCATCTAGCCTCTGTCCCATGGGACTTAAAGAGCACATGCATGGTAAGTTCAGTTTAATGAAACTGTAACTATGTTACTCAATAGTTCGTCTATTTTTTTAAGAATAATAATAGTTAAGGTTAATAGGTAGGAATGGTTTTCAAAATGGCCTTCTACTGTTAATACATCAGCAAATTCCATCTACTCTGCAAAAATTCATCAGGGCTTCAGAAAACATATATACTTAGGGAACAAATGTTGTGTTTAACCTTGGACAGTGGAGGATCTCCTTTTCTATGCAATATCTTTGTTTTTTGAAGCCAACACAGTTAATTGTCAGTACTAAACCAAGTAAGCAATAAGTAGAACTGTATTACAGGGCAGGGAGATGCTCCTTTCAATATTTCAACATAAAGACAATGTTACTAATTAAAATATATTATTTGTAATTAGCATCTAAATTCTAGCTAGAATTCACACAGATTTACAAAGATATGTATCATTGTGGAGGTTTTTTTACATCATGTGTAATAGGTAAACCTTCAGGTTTCTGGGTTCTGTAATCTCCCAGGACTTGAAATGGACACCCAACATTAGAACAATCATTAAAAAGGCACAATAAAGAATGTTCTTCCTGTATCAACTTAGAAAGCTCACACTGCCCAAGGAGCTGCTGATACAGTTCTACAGAGGAATTATTGAATCTATCATATGTAATTCTATAACTGTTTGGTTTGGTACACCAACCAAACAGGACAGATACAGACTTCAACAGATAGTTAGGACTGCAGAAAAACCATTGCAACCAGCCTGCCTTCCATTGAGGACCTGTATACTGCATAAACCACAAAAAGTGCTGAGAAAATATCTACAGATCCCTCACATCCTGAACATAAACTGTTTCAATTCTACCCCTTAGGACGCTGCTATAGGCATTGCATGCCAAAATAACTAGATACAAAGACAGTTTTTTTCCCCTTGTGCCATCACTCTGCTTAATTCCCACAGCACTGTCTTATTACCGATGTAGTAGGGCTATATTACTATTAACCTTCTCATCTTTTCTTTTACCTTCTACTATTGGTATCTTATGATTATATTACTTTGTTGTTTGTATGTACACTGAGAGCTTATGCAGCGGAGACAATTCCTTGTGTATCCAATCACACTTGGCCAATAAAGATTCTATTCTGTTCTGTTCTATTCTAAATTTCAGAAACTGAGTATGATTTTTAGCATGTGTATATATGAACCTAAGACATTATTTGTAAACCATAGATAATATAAGATATATGATCTAACCACAGTTGTTCATTAAGAAATGGTGGTTAAAACAAGCCATAGCTTAATGTCATGTGTGCTCTTATTTAGAAGTGATCATTACGAGCATGTTATTATATTCTGTTATTTTTTTTCTGTTTTAAAACCTTCATACTCTTAAATAATCAGTAGTAGGATATAAATATTTCTCACCAAAAAGCACTGAGTTATAGGGCCAGTATTGTTAATATAATAGACAAATTACATGATGAAATGTATAGTAATGCTAGGAATAAAATTAAGGAAATACAGTAAATAGTGGTCTTTAGATATTTCCCTTATTATTTTCACTAAGCATTCCAGAATATTGTGTAGCTCATTAAGATCCCCAGTGCTCATTGCTTGTGTTCTATGCTTTTCCCCACCTTAGGGCTGGAGGAAGGAGGATTTCCATTTCCTAATGGTGAGATGGTTGAACATAATGAAGGCAGCAAAGATAGAACTATTATGCTTATGGGAGCATCAGCCCAGAAGATCTCAGTAAGGCTAAAGCCATCTGTGGTACACAGGAGTACACAAACTGATATAATGATGGTGCACGGTAATGATGTGTCTAATTTACAAAGAGAGTCTGGAACATCACCTGAAAGTAGTTTTCTCCAGCCATCTCCTGTGTTTCCATGTCCAAGTCCAATTCTTGGCCGTAAAAAGGCGTATGTGAAATGGGAAAATAAGGATTGCAGTCAAAAAGTGAAGGAAGATCCACAAACACTAAAACCCACATATCAAGAACTAGAAAAGGTATGAAACAGCTTTGAAAACTGCACAGAATAACTAAGACTATGTTGATATGAGTTTGAAGTATACAAATGAGTACTTTTAAAAATAGAAATAAATTTTCAGGCACACCATCCCTTTATGACAGTAACAATAAGTGAAATAAGTGCAAAAATCCTGAGGCTAGATTCCTTGAATGTCTGGTTTTTAAATGGCCGTTTGAATTAAAAAGGATAATATTTGCAAAAATAATACAGGTAATTCTCAAGCTACATCAGGGCATTTAACAAACATTTGAAGTTACCAAAGACCCACCCCTTCCAAAGCTACATATGACCCCATTTCAGAGTTACAACAGATGCAGTGGCCCAGCGGTCATTTGCTTTTATGACCCACCACAAGCTTGCTGCACCATCCCTCCACTTCTCTTCCCACATCCCACCCCACCAGAATCCAGCAGCTCTTAGGCCCCCACATGCTCATCTCACACCACACCTTTTGAAGGTCTCCATACCTCATATTGTGAAAGGAGGGCAGACCGTGCGTCCCTGGGACATGTGGCAATGATCCAAATGTGGCTACCATTTTGTCCTTTCTGCTTGTGGGCAGGGACAAAACTATGACTGCCAGACAAACTGCTTCATTTTGCTTCCTTAAAGAGGTCTGCACTGTGCTTCAGAAGTTCTGACCACCACTTGTGGCAGCAACCTGAACGTGGCTGCCATTTTTTCCCCCAACCTCAAACATTAGACAAATTGCTTTGTCTGTGTAGGGTGGTGGTGGTGGTGGGATCCAGTGGGGCAGGGAAGCAGGTTCAAGGCCCGAGGGGACCCCAAGGGGTGGGAAGTGGAGTAGGGGGTGCTTCAGGAGCTAGAGGAGGCCTGGGGCAGGCTACATGTGAGCTGGGGTAATGGGCCTGCTCCAGGCCACCAAGGCTTTCCCCACTTCTGAGGCACCCCATGCTCTGTTTAATAACCCATGCATATTTGGAGAGCCATTAACCATCATTCCTTCTTTCCTGCAGAATGGAAAACTTGGGGGTAGGGAGAAGATCCATCAGTTAAAATAAGGATGTTTTCTTCCAATTAGAAGATGCTGTTTGCACATGAAAGCATGTGTTTACCAAGCTCTCTTTTCTCAGAGTCAATTGTGGTAATTGCTTTCCTCTTGAGCAAACAACTGCGTATCTTTCATTCCATGTACTGCTCAAGTCACACAGTTCTTAAACTAACATGCCATTCAGGCAAGTGTTCCTGCTAACAAAACTAAACATTCAGAAACTATTCTGTTCTGATGGTATATTTTTGTTTAGGAAAGAAATGTTCTGACTGCAGAGAATGAAGCTCTCAAGCTGCGCCTTAAACAAGCTCATAAGAAGATTGAATTCCTCAGCATTCAACGAAATCACATACTGGACACTAGGGAACATGGAGATTGCTTGTAGCTTAAAAGAAAGACATAATGAGGAAAAGGATAAAGCCAGTGGGGTTTTTTTTTTAATGTATTTAAGTGTATGTAATTAAATGTGTGCAGCATGGCAGGAATTTAAAGTAAGATTGTCTTATTTTCATTGCTATTAGTACTTTTGGATGTATATATTTTGTGCTATCGATTTAACCACTTTGCCTTCTGTTTGGCTGAAACTACATCATTTGGAGTGCCTGTTATTTTTAGAGCAAGGAACACACCTGTTGCCAAAGTAACCAAACTGCATTATCAAATAGGAATGTGTATCTTGGGCTAATGTTTGCTAATTTTGGCAATGCAAACTTGAAAACGGGCATGATTTTTTCATTTGAAACTTCACAAATGTTGCTGCTTTAATGGGCATATGAGTCAAACAGCCATTTCCATATTCTTTTCGAATTGGTTGGTTTCTTTTTCCAAGGATGCTCATTTCAGATAGGCAGTTCCAAAAGCTTCCTCTCTGCAGAGATGTGCAGAAATGGGCAAAAATATAAAGATGCCAGCCACAAAAGTACAATCAAAACTCCATTTGTTATTTTGTGTACATTGCATACACACACACACCCAACCAGTGGCATGGTGGCTCAATGACTTAAAAATGCTGGAGAAGGTCTGTATTCCAGCAGTTCAAGTCCTACCACTGCGTGACAGAGTGTGCTCGTCACTTGCCTCAGCTCCTGTCAGCCTAGCAGTTCAAAACCATGTAAATGCAAGTAGATAAATAAGTACCACTTCATGGGAAAGTAACAGTGTTCCGTATTTTATCGTACGTTTTGCACTGCAGTGTGAAGACTGGCCATATGACTGCAGAAATGTCTTTGGACAGTGCTGGCTCAATGGCTTAAAGCAGTGGTTCTCAACCTGTGGGTCGGGACCCCATTTGGGGTCGATCGACCATTTCACGGGGATCGCCAAGCAAGGCTGTCCGCCATTTTTTTCCCCTTTTCCGGCGGGTGCCTTACCTCCCTTGAGCTGGGCCAGCTGGTGGTCGGCCTGCTCCGTCTCTGCCGCTTGCCAGCTACGCCTCGGCCGGCGCAGGGGGCGGAACCACGCATGCACGGCGCTCCCGGGCAGGGAAAGTCCTCGACTTACGACCGGTTGGGTAGTCCTCGACTTATGACCGGTTTAGTCCTCGACTTACGACCGGTTTAGTCCTCGACTTACGACCGGTTGGGGTCGCGGCATTAAAAAGGTTGAGAACCACTGGCTTAAAGAAACGGAGATGAGCAACACACCCTAAAGGTGGCTGCACGTAGCAGAGTAAAACCCACAGGGACTCCTTTTTTTTACACACACACACACACAAGACGCTCTTGGCACCACACCCTGCAGTCATCCCTATGTGAAAAGATTTTCAACCTGGACTTTGGCACTGACGCTCTAAAACAAAGTCAAAATGAGGGAAGTCACCGACTGGATTTGCATGATCCAGCTTTAAAAAATTTTTTTAAAAAAAATATCCCCAGAAAAAGGCTCCTGTTACTGATGGTTTTGATTTAGTTTCTATTGTAGTCAATAGGCAAGATCTTTATTTTGCTTGTAAATCTTTAATCAGTTCAGGCTTTCATAGAATATAGAGAAGGAATGATCCAGATTAGCAGTTATTAATTATAACTGTGCCACATGGACCATTTCCTGCCGATAGTAAAGTCAATGCTGGTCAGTCTAATAATAGTCATATTTTGCCACAAGCACAACAAAGCTACATTAGTATTGCTTTTGTTCCACTAGCTGGAAGGTACAGGTAGTTCTTGACTGTTCAAAGATACAACGCATCTCTGCCAGAAATACTTATGACTCAGTTCCAAAATTCTGATGACTACCCCTCCCTAGGAATTTACAGAAGTTTGCAGCATCCTGCGATCACCTGACCATGTTTTAGAATGGTTTTGCTGAAAACTGGCGTTTCATGTTTTCAGCAAAAAAAGTCCATAGCAAACCACTGCGTGTGCTTAAAAGCCTCAACATTTGCTTAGTGACCATGATGGCTGCTTTATCATTGTAGTAGTTGCTATACAGCCGCCACAAAAAAGCTCATAAAATTAGGTCAGTCATGTGGATGACTTGTTTTATAACCATCACTAGTTATGGCCATGATGGGCAGGCTCCATTACAGGCATAAGTCAAGGAGTAACCATACATTGCAGTATTGATACAGTTAATGATGCAAAATGAGAAGAAACAATGTGTGAATTCAGTGTGTACCAATGTGATAGAAATAAGATGGTTTTCAAGAATAGAGAAGAACGGAGAGTTATAGCAAATCATGGCTGTGCAAACTAGATTCAATTGGATTTCTTTTCTCTTTTTGCTCACCACTTCTAACTCATTGTCTGTGCTTTGCATAACACTTAGTTTGCCTTGAAAAGAAATAGCAAAATGAAATAGTATGTTGGGTATGTATGTATTTGTGCTTATACATATAATATTCATCACATTCTCTCATATAGTGAAAGGTGTTATGCTTCTTTTTAGACTATTGTGAAAGAAAATATTCTCTCACTTGCCAAACCCATGTGCAGGATTCCCCAGCCCCTCTGCACTTTTGCCAACCCAACCATTTACAAACATCTGTGTACCTTCCCCGACCTGCGCAGCACCTCCTGTGTATCTCTGACCAAAAGTCAAGAACTACTTGATAAGCACAAGAGATGCTAAAAGCCACTTTTATGTTTCATGTCTAAATTTCTTTTTTTAATAGTAATTTTATTCAAAATTGCAATTACAGTTGCAACAATAAAAAGTAGTTATTAAGGAAAGAAGAAAAATAGAAAAGAAAAAAAATAATAAAAAAGAAAATATATAAAGATATGAGTCCCCCCTTCATCACAAGTATAAACAATTTTAGTAACATATTACCTCTTAAAAAATAACAATATCTTGATCCCATATCCTATTATCTAGAAACAAATAAATAAAACCTCATCATTTCAGTCCTAGTGTTAGCAAAAGTCCATTAAGGATTACCAGAGATAACCTATCTATTTTAACCTTGATCAAATAAACCAACTTTATATTCCTTCATTTTACTTCTAATGTTGATCTTTAGTCCCTTCAAATAATGTCCTAGAACGGTTGTCAAACTGCCAGCCCGTGGGCTGGTTTTATCATACTGAAGCCACGCCCACCCCATTGCCGGCAATGCAAAAAGAGTCATGACACGTCACGACACGTCACATGACATGGCGAGTTTGACACCCATGTCCTAGAGCTTGCTTTCTTTTCACTTTTTGTCTCCTCTCACAAAATTCTTCAAAGCTTTAACAAGCCACTTTTGTAAATTCAAAATGGGAAAATTATCCAGCTCATTCTTGATTTGTTATTTGTATATCCCTTTTAATTGTTAACAAATCAGCTGGGTTTTTTTATATGTTCAACATAACATCATTTTTCATGTCATTCTTTACAATTTTTGAAGGCAATTACAAAAGGAAATATGCAAACCCAGTGTCCCTTTAAAAGCACTGACTACGATTTGAGCAAGGTGGCTATTACCTCATCTGTCAGAGCTCTAAAGCCACTGGTGACTGCTGTCTTGTAGCCCCCCCCCCCAAGAAACAAATATCTGGAATACTTATGGGTGATCTCAAGTGTTCTCCTTGTCTGAAGAGGAATTACAAAGAGCTCGTTTAAGTTGTTGGCTCTTTTTTCTATTATGGTCATTGGCTCTGCTTTTCACGGAACTGTCTTCAGTTCTTGATTTCTTCCCTAAAAATGTCTAAATTCACATTCCATGATTCTAGAACTGACAGATTAATAGTACACTATAAAATATTGTGCAACACAGTTGATTTTCATGTAGCTTTTGTTATATTTATTTACAACCTTATTTTAAGGCTGATCCCAAATGTAATTTATTTTTTATAATGATGTATTTCCCCAGCTATAATATTTGTACTTTTGTGTGTAATATATAGTTACTCTTTTTTTGAATAATGTCATGGTACTATTATATTTGTACATTTCCTTGTAAGGCTCAGCTTAATATGTTAGATTCTTTAAATAAGCAGCTTTTGTAATATAGATATTTTTCAGAAAATGTCTCCAGTTGATGTTCGGTTTAAGTCTGATTATTTAATGTAAATTATTGTATAATATCAAAAATGATCAATGCATGTTTTTTTAAAAGGTTGAATTGAAAACTAGAAGTTATACACTAAATGTGAACTGAAAAAATGAAAATTCACTTGGTTGCACTGGATAGTTGTCTGTATTCTTTTCCAATATTTACTTACCTTTAGCAGTCATGTATAAGCCAGCACAGGAAACCTCTTTAAGGGGATGTTAACAGGTGTGATGTGTCAACATCTGTTCACACCACCTTTTCCTCCTCCCAGCCTGTGTGTGTACGTGCATGTGCGCATATGCACATATATGTTTCATACAGATAGTCCTCAGCTTATGAACATAATTTTGATCATCAATTATTATGGTTGTAAGTCATGGCATCCTGGTTTTTTTTTTTTACCATTTTTATGTTGGTCTTTCAGTAAATTTCATGTTCATTAAGTGAATCCATTCTCAAGTGAATGAGCAAATTTTGCCGGAAACTAGGAAAAAGCATCAATCAGTTATGTGACTATGGGACACTATAACTGATCATAAATGCAAGCCAATTGCCAAGCACCCAGAATGTGCTTAACAGGCTGTAAAACACCCTTTCTAAGGCTGTTATAATTTCAAATGGTTGTTAAATGACTGGTCAAAAGTCAAGGACTATCTGTACACAAGGCTTGCAATGATTCTGTTATGTGCTGAGAAAGGAGTATAGTTTTATTTGTATCCTGCAAGGAAAATGGAAAGATGGACTGATAAGATTTATGTACTTTTATATTTCCCAGAATGAGTCTGCACTGCATCTGAATATGATAAAAGTATAATTTTCCATTATATTAAAATTATGATGGGTGTGAGATTATCTATGGGTTGCATTGGTTAAAGAAATCCTGTTAAGTGATGGCTTGTAGAACTATATCCGGCCACTTTATTTTTGACATATTGTATCAAGATTTTCCTACCTCAACAGAGCATGTTGTTTAAAGGAGGTGCCCCCATGTGGTGATGGCTAGTATTTGTATCAACCAGTTAAAGAAAATTAAGCATCAGAAAGGTCTACTGACTACTAGCTATAAACACGCAAACACATTCAGAATTAAAACTGGAAATCTGGTGAATTCCAGCAGAAAGTTAGCTTATCCAGTGCAATGGCTGTCATATCTCTTCTCCATGCCAAACATTATACAACTGCTAATATGAAGATATATCTGCCCTTTGTAAAACCTCTACAAGTTCTGCATTTGGCAGACTGCGGACTAACGTGTGGGACCGCCGTGGAATAAGCCTTGCTACTAAGCTTAAAGTTTACCAGGCAGCAGTGCTAACTACCCTAATGTATGCTAGTGAGACCTGTACAGTGTACAGGAGGCACGTCAGGCAACTGAATTACTTCCACATGACTTGCCTTCGCAGAATTCTGAGGATCCGGTGGCAGGATAAGATACCAGATACAGATGTCCTCTCCAGAGCAGGCCTATCATCAGTTTACACTCTGTTGATGAAAGCCCAGATGCGCTGGGCAGGCCACGTTGTAAGGATGCCAGACCATCGCATCCCTAAACAGCTCTTCTATGGTGAGCTGTCTCAAGGAAAACAATCGCACGGGGGACAAAAGAAGCGATACAAAGACACGCTGAAAGCATCTCTCAAGTCCCTGGATATCGACACCATCTCTTGGGAATTTTTGGTGCATGATCGACCGACATGGCGTACCCTGGTTTACCAGGGTTGCCAGACATATGAACACAGAAGGACAATCTTGGCACAAGAGAAGTGAGCTCTCCGTAAAGCCAGAGCTGCAAATGCTGAAGCAACACTGTCCACATTTCTCTGTTCAGTATGTGGCAGAACATTCCGTGCTAACATCGGTCTCATCAGCCATCTACGGACACACCGCTGATGGCCCATAATCCATAAGATGTCAAGGTCTTCATCGAAATCGATGGACGAACAACTAGGTTGATATGGATATTTTTCTTTTCTCTGTAGCCAATAGCTAACAAAATAAATGATTACTTCTACAAATTTTGCTCAATCAGTCAAAGAATAACAACAATCTGTTGATTTTCAATGACAGCCAAAAGTAGGTATATTCAGTTTTCAAAAGGTGAGCAAAACATTCCAAACTGCAATCGTTTTCAGTGTGGTCAAATCTTAATAAAAATCTTCTAAAAATACCCATTTCAAAATTCTATTTTAAGAAAACCTGTAATTTTTCAAATGCATTTCGTCATAGATGTCTACATATATCCAGCTATATAGTAACCACTTAACATCACCTTGATACCGGCAGGATGGGCACGTGTTCCAAAATTAAATGTGTTTTTAGATATATGTAGCTAAAGGATTTGAGAATTTTTAACAAAAGAATGAAAGATTCTTTTGAAGGAATAAGCTATTATATCTACTGTGTAAGACAGCTACAGCAACAACTTTACTATATTTTATTTCTCAGTGTTCACAATTGTAAATGATCTATTACTTAAACCATTCTCCAGGTAGCTATTAAAAGATATTTTTTCTCAATAGATGTTCCATGTATATGAACAGAAACACAACACTGGATAACTGTTAATACAAACTATTTATATAAGAACATTAAGTTCTATAAAATACACTCTTCAGATTTAAACATATAAAAGGTATTGAATGTTTATTGCATTGTTAGAGGTTGTCAAAACTACAGGCATACAATTACCAGAAATTATTATTCATCCTTAACTTGCTTTGAAGTGTTTTCTGATTTGTGAAGGGCAGGAAATTTTAAACAATTACAGGACTAACTAATTAAAAATAATCATTCTCTTCACTTTTGGCTCAGGAGAACAGTATGTCTTGCTTTTAATTTTTGATCAGTTAAAATTCTCTATACTATATAACTTCTGGAATAATACCTTAGTGTACTTCAGTATTTCTCAACCTTGACAACTTTAAGATGCATAGACATCAACTTGCAGAATTCCAGTCAGCGTGGGAGTTGAGATCCAACTTCTTAAAGTTGCCAAAGCTGAAAAACACAGGTGCACATAATTGGAACGTGAGAACAATGAACTTGAAATCTAAAGAAAAACTAACAGGCAGAATTGTAAGAGTCATGGCAGTCAACTGAGATCAGGGAAAATGATATTGAACAGCTGCTCCATTAATCAGTTAAAAGATTCCTGTTTCTGCTGAGCTATATACTTCAACAGGCACATGTACCATAATCCTTGGCCAAACCAAGAACTACAGAAAACTCTTGTTCAAGAAAAGCCTGCTTTGGCCTTTTAGAAAAAAATGGTGGAGATGGGATAGAGAATACATTCTATGAAACTATTCAAATATTCTGTGTGTCATCAAGCACCCCATCAATAGCATTATCGCCTAAACATTCCCATCAGAACACCAATACGGATCTGAGTGCATCTCCCAGCAGACTATATTGATTGCGCCTTATGTACCTTCACTAAACTAAATTCAACGCTGCTTCTTTCTTTGCTTGGTATTTTGCCAACAGAAAGGCTGGATGAGGCAAATGCAAAAATTTCAATTTCAGGGTCACATGTTTATCAACAGCCTTGTTAAATAAAAAAAAATCCAGATCAACAATAATATAAAACAAATAAACTAAAAAAAACTGAACCAAAATAATGAGGGACACTTCACACGCTTTTAAGAGATATGGGTTCTGCACAGAAAATACCACATAGCCTGCAACTTTAGCATCAAATTTGTACATCAAACTTGTACACAGCCATTTTTTGTGTATTTGCAACCCGAGGGTTTTTCACCAGTCATTGCTTCCATTTGTGTATATATTGCTGGTAACAACAAATGCATGAGTACATATGCTTGGATAGAAGTCAGCAGTGAAAATTAATTTTGTATAAGGTGGTTTTGAATGAATGGAACAACCATAATTCATCAATAAGGATGATCGATGCAGTTTAAGCATCACATTTGCCCATCAGCGATAATGTATTCTGAGACATTGCTCTCAAGGTATGCAATGTTAAGATGTTAGTATTTCCTATAACCCCCTCTTCTACCATATGACTCCCCATATCCTCCTCTCCCACTATAGTCACCCCTCCCTTGATATCTACCCCCTCCCCTCCAATTTCCCCCACCCCCTCTACCACTCCCACCCCATCCACTCCCTCCTCCCCATCCACTCTCCCCACCCCATCCACCACCTCCTCTATTTCCTCCACCTCTTCCTCTTCCACCATCTCCTCCCCAACCTCCCCTGCCTCCTCTACCACCACCATCCTGTCTCTTCTGCCATGGGGGCATTTCAGGAGGCGGCGGATCAATTTCTGTTGGTCTGCCACCACGATCTGGTACTCTTCCCATCAAGACCTGTTCAAAAAACATATAAAGCCCAGTAAGACCACGTTTCCTTCTTAACTTCGGAATATCAAATTATTGAGAGAAAGCATGTTCATTTATGTATGTATATATGTCTGTGGTTAAAACCACTAGGTTTTCATACATTACTGTATTATTCCAAAAGAATATAAATAATCTAGGATTGAATAGTCAAATTATGAAGAATTTCATACCAGCAAAAACAGTTAACACCTTTAGATACCAAATGGCATTGAGCATAAAATACAAGGCTACTCTACATTAAGTATATATTACTGTATTTTATATAGTGCAACAATGAGCTAGAGATTCCTGAGATTTTGCAAATTACCAGAAACATTAAAATTTCCAAGAACTAGCACAAATTCTTAAAGGTTCAGTAGTACAAGAAATCTATGGCTGCCACATTAATAAAAAGCATACCTTATTGATTGCACAAATAGTCTTTTCTCGTGTTGATCCACTGCTTGTTCTTATGATCTTTGACAAATCTTCACGAGCAGCTAGAAGATGAGCTATTGAAATTGTCGATTTAGAAGTAAGTCCGTAACGTTTGGGTTGATAAATCCTTGCAATATCATCCGTTTTTACCTAGGAAAATGGATAGACATTTATAATAGCTACAAAAACTATCACAAAGTAGAGTGACATTAGGAAGTTTAATTTTACTGCACCATGTAGTTATTAATATCATGTATATTATTAGCTTCCATTTTACAGTTTAGTTTCAAGTAAGTTCCTATTGACAAAGAAAAAGCTGTTAAAAGGCTTAGGAATAACACTTGTTTAAAGAATGTCATAATGCAGTTAAACTGAATTAGATAAAGTAGATTATACAATAAGAAAAAAACAAAGCAAAATAATCTTACAGTATAAATATATATTGTAAGGTTACATTGTTTTTTTTTCCCCTGAAAAATTTTAATGTATACTTTGAAGACATTCTCAGGCCAAGGAAGGTTATGCTTATTTCAGGGGCAGATCCATGCAATTTCACTAGCTATAACACAGAAGCGGTTTGCCATTTCTTCTTTTTCAAGAGTGATTTTCAACTACTGAGTCAAGCTTGTAGCCCTGTTGTTCCCTCATGGTTTCCCACCTAAAGCCCTTTTTAATTTCTATGCATTGACTAATTTGGCCAAGTGCTTCAGCTGCTGAAATGTAAATGAGTAAAGGAGAAACGAATAGTTGGAATTCTCTTTCTTCTATACCAGGGCTTTTCAACCTGTACCACTTTTAGGATATGGCAACATCCGAGTACCACCAGTCGCCTAGCAAGGTGTCAAAAACTTAAGATGATAAAAAAAAAGGAAAAAAGTGATAAAGTACGGGTAGTCCTCGACTTACAACACTTCGCTTAGTGACTGTTCAAAGTTACAATGGCACTGAAAAAAGTGCCCCCCAAGCCACAGCCAAGCAAAACACCTGCCTGCCTGCCCAGCGGCACTCTTCCTCCTGTCCGAGGTTTTCATTGTTGTGAGCATTTCTGTTGAGGATTGGCAGCGGGGGTGGGGTGGGGGGGTGTTTCGTTTTTATTCCCCCCGTCTGCTGGGTGGTTACAAGAGATTTTGGTCACTTCACATGACCCTGGGACACAATGACCGTCATAAAAATGAATCAGTTGCCAAGCATCTGAATGTAAATCACAATACCCTGGAGAGGCTGCAACATTCCAGCTGATCGATGCTTCTTCTGGGCTCAGAAGTGCCAGGATCAGTACTGCTTTCCAACTGATTGGTGCTTCTTCAGGGCTCAGCAGAAGCACCAGGATCAGCACCGAGCTCAGCTGGAGTCTGGCACTGATCCTGGTGCTTCCGCTGAGGCCTGACAGCCCTGCAGCTCCAGCCATCTCTCGCTCAGGCTTGTGCGGTGCTGCCACCGGTTCAGCTCATTCCCTTCCCTGCTACTTTTCTAGGATGGTCGTGTACCACCTGCCAGGTGCCAATGTACCACAGGTGGTACCCGTACCACTGGTTGAAAAGCCCTGTTCTATACAACAGAAAATTGTATTTTAAAAAAATGTTTTTAAATCTTCCACCCCAGGATTCTACTCAATCAACAAGAACTAA